ATCCCACCCTTCCACTGATGCCATGATTCACAAACTTTCTGTTCACTCCAAGTTTTCTTTTACAGGGCTTGAGACAAGCACCACTTAACCAGTAGAATAGAGAACTTTTGGACGTGTTGTCTCGGCTGTACTGCAGATGATGGAAATTATTAGTGAACATGAAGATCTGATATGAGAGTTCTGTACCTTGTCTGGTAGAAACAGGTAATACGTTACCTGAATGGTGCATGAAATTACAAAAGGACAATCATTAACGCAATGCACAATTTGAACTGCACTTGTTACAAGTAATTCTTACTCTGTGTACCTTGGGGTCTTTCCTGTGATAGGTAAGGAAAACCCTTGAAAATTTGTTCACTTATAATGGTGTGACCCTAAAGGAATCCTATCTTGGATTTTTCCACAAAAATAGATTTTTTCTCGTAAAAAAAAAGAATATTCTCCTACTGACAGTTATTGCGCAAATTGTGCCTGCACTTAGACTGCATTCCCGTAAACCTGTCATATACTAGCTGGATCGATCTAACTCTGTGGATCTTCTCACTTAAGTGCTTTCGTTGTAATCAGGTTAATATTGTCTGGAATGCCTCCTTGAGTACCCCCTAGCAGCGTGAGTAAGCATACCAGACATTTAAGCACATTTACACTGAATGCAATGTAGAGAAAATTCTGAATAAAATCAGTCTACGATAGGTTTATGGGAACTCTCCTTTGGCTTTAATGTTTTATACATATCTAATTCAATAGTTTTTTCTGTCTGACCCCTTTCAAAGACTCCCATTTCTTCCTGTACATTATAAAGATAATAGTGATATCAGACTTATTTGAGGGGTTTCATTGTATTTTAAGAGAATGCATTATGAAAAGATTATACGTATAGTAGCTTTGCAAGAGATATACAGATTAAGGGACTGTTCACATGGAAAACCTATTTTCTAAAAATCTATTTGCGGTATCTTGTGATCACGGTCTGTGCCCCGAATACCCCACAGCGTAATTACGGGCAGCACGAGCCAGCTACTTCCAAAGCTGTAATTAATTCTCGGTGCTGCCAGTAATTACGCCGCGGGGTATTCAGGGCACAGACCATGATCACAAGATACAGCAAATAGATTTTTAGAAAAAAGATATGACTTGGGGGGGGGGGGGGGGGGGGTGAAGGGGCATAGCATACATCAATGTATTGTTCTGGTTATTTCAGGAAGCTATGTATTTTGCCTTCATCCGCCGTTGCATACTGGTCATTGAATGCAGGGGGATTTTCACCCAACGTGTACGTCTGCCTAAAGTGCTATCAGGCTTTCAAACCAGGGAACACATAGCATGGATAGGGGGCAGCAGCTGCATTCAAGCTGAGACAAACCAGTGCCACTTGGTTGGTCAGCAGAGGAGAAAGACAAATGGCAAAAGTACACCGGAATTTCAGCCCGAACCGCCCTCCCACAAACAGCAGAAGTATTTATATGGGCCACGAGAGAGGGAAATAATTCAGAATTATGAAAGGAGAAATAAAAGAGTATCTCTCAGCTGGTTGACAGTGTATCGATATATAGAGGCACTCTGGACAAAGATATGGGGAGGGAAAAGTGTTATAGAAGATAACAAACGAATGTCTAGTGCCTTCCAGGCACTTTCGGACAACAATCTTTTGTCTGACCTTGGTGGCGTCGCCTGTAACAATCTTCTGTATATGGCATTGAATACTAAGACTGCCTCTAAACCTTTCCTCATGGAGCTTGAAAATCATTGCGCATTGTTTTGGCATTCGTGGCCTCTGTACACAAGGATTCATCAGGCACAGCTGTGGCTTTTCTTGTCCAAGAAATATGACCACATGTTCATGAAGAGCGAGATTGAAGATTTTCTTCAGTCTGTTACATTAGATCCCGCCTACTCACGCCTACATGTTGTTGACACATTGCTGCTGTGCCAAGTTCTTATCTACCACAACCAGTTGAGTGTGTCCATGAAGTCGCCTTTAAGTAAGGAATTAAAGAGCAAGCTGAAGGATGTTGTTGGTGTTATTGAAAAAAGGATATTTCTGGATGAAAAAAATGAAATGAGTGAAATTAATTTACAAAATGTACAGGATATTATTCTGATTAAGAACTTGTTGAAAAGAAATGCTGTTGAAATGGTTGTACCCATGTTGGAATTTCTACAAAGAAAATGGCAGCTACACTGTGAAGATAGAAAAAAAAAGCCAACTTCCACGGATGAAGAGCTCTTTTTTAAATGTTTAATAGGTGTAATAGAAACAATTAACGTGGCCCACGTGGATTACCTTTCACGGATTGCTCTCCTCGCCTATGCTGGGGACATGGTCAAGACATGTACCAGCCAATTTCAGCTGCCCCAAAGAGCAGCGCTGGTTTTCCGCCTAACACAGAAGGGATACTATAACCAGGCTCTCATGGATGATGTCATTTCCAGTTTCCTAGGAGACGTCAAGGGAGCAGGTAAAGTTGCGGACTTCACTGTGATCACCACACTCTTGCATACCTCTGCAGCCATGGACTACAGCCATTCTGGTTTCCTGAACAAAGTCTCTGAACAACTACTCCTTCCCTCGACGAGGCTGGAAATAAATCGCCACCCACAGATATTGCTCCCCATATTAAACGCTTTGCTGTGTCTGGGGGCGAACTGTGATGGTCTCTTCGACTTGCTCTTCAGCCAGAAATGCATGATGGGACTTGTGGGGAATGTGCTGCAGAATCCCAATCATGCCCATCACAAGGTTTTGCCTGTTCATCTAAACAGAGTCTGTGGTCTTTTGGAAGTTGAAGGAATTGTTCGGCATGCAGTAAGAATACCATCAGAGATATATGACATGTCAGTTATGAAAGAAGCCATTTCTAGTCCAAATATCATGGACTCCATAGAACTGAACGTGAATACCATCCTGCTCACTGCCATTCAGAAGATATTTGACTACACGAACAAAGCAAGACTGGTCACTTTACCTTACTTAAAGTCTTGTCATGTGGAATTTTGTTTAGATGGAGATGGGAACCCTTTGGATCTGCTTGCTGCTGGAGTGCCTTCCTTGGTGGACTTGAATGGGAGAGTGAAGATGGGCGCTAAAGCAAAGATGGCCGAAAAGAACAGGAGGGTAGCTGTTATCCTTGAAAAAGAGGAGCATTTCTTTGTCAACAAGTCTGGTGTTGATGGCAGGGTTCTTCTAAATGGTAAGAGGGAAAAACTAAACACAAAGATAAAAGTAAAATGGGGTGAAATAAAAATATCAGGTCTTAATATATCAGATTGTTTTAGGGTGCACTGTGCATGTGTGCATATTCTGTCTTATATAAAAAATCTTTTTTAAGAAGTATATTTGGATTTTATGTAATTTTTTATAACTAGCAATTTTCTTATTTTATCAGTTTAATTTTATGTGAATGTGGTATCACACAGTATGTCTATGTAATTATTCAACTCTTCGTGGGTTGTCAGATTATTTTTATTAGTAATAATAACAAAGAGTAGTATTGATGATAAGTAAATGATAAAAAAATAACCTTTGTAGCAATATCTCATCTTCTGAGTATATAGAATACACAGTATATCTATTCTTATAATTGATATTGATAGAGCGTGCCAAGACTTTTAATTTATTCATCTGTAACAATTCTTCCTTCATGAATTTTAGGCTGGGAAAAACGTCATCGCAGACATCTGAGTCTTTTGGGCTATCACCATGTGGTCACAGTGCCAGCAGACGCAGTGCTAGACCAAAGAGAACAACTGCTCAGTTTCCTTAGGCAAGAGTTCCAGAAGATTCCATGTATGAAATTATGAAATTAATCTAATGGAAAAAAGAGAGGTTGATATTCATATATACTCTTTGAATTCCATCCATTTTCCCCAACAGTGATAACAATAATCATCATTTTTTTTTTTTTTTTTTTTTTTTTTTTGTAGGTCAATTACTTTGGAACATAGTTGAAAGTAATCTTGTCAGCACACATACATACTTTCTATAGAATTTCTAATCTGGGAATTTTTAAGAATTTAGGAAGGTGAAGTTTAAAGAACCAGTCCTGAATGGAATAGATGGAATAGCAATTTTTTAGACCCATATCGTCTGAAATATATACACAGTTATGGAGGATATAGTTATTTAAACCCCAATTAAAGATGTGAACACCAATTCGATAAGATTATCTGTTTGCAATTTGAGACATTATGTCCTTTGTTTACAGGAAGACATTCAGACCGATTATTGATGAACTATTCACAGAAACAAAATTCTGGAACCACAAATCACATTTTGCATGTTCCACAATCAAAATAATTTTACTTCTTTTTTCCAGTACATGCATTTTTACCAGCTTTTGTAATCACCATAGGTGGTAAAATCAAATAATTTTACATGCATATCCTGATACACGTTACATTCTTAAAGAATATTTTTATGTACAGACACAGATGTGTCTGTACATATAGCCATCATCTGCGTCTGTCGTCGCCGTCGCCGTCGTCGCTGTCGCCGTCGTCGCCGTCGCCGTGCACTTTTACCGATAACACGATAAGTGGAAAACCATTTTACCTTTTGACTTGAAACTTACAGAACTGATGAATATTCATAATACGCAGGTCAAGTTCGAAAATCAGCATGATCGGGTCACTTTTAGGGAATTTATGCTGTTTTTTCACTTTTTTCAGCATATATGCAGCACCGATAACACGATAAGTGGAAAACCATTTTACCTTTTGACTTGAAACTTACAGAACTGATGAATATTCATAATACGCAGGTCAAGTTCGAAAATCAGCATGATCGGGTCACTTTTAGG